GACCAAGCAGAGTTTTGCTTAGACGTATTGTTGGCCCATCAGTGACAACCAGACTAGTTTGGGTTTAAAGCATGGTCCTTAAGAAAGAAATCTAGCCTCTAAATCCCAAGATATCTTGTAAAGTTAGGAAGAAGGAAATAAAGAAAGGAAGCAGGAGCTCTGTTGCCCAACTGGCCAGCTCCATTTGGGTCCCCACTGGGGCAGCTCCTACTACTCACAGTTTGTTTTTTGTCCTTCATTCTTGAAGAGGATTATGACATCATGGAGGTGATGCCATGACATGCAAATGAATTGGATTTAAGTGAGGAAGGGCAGAGCAAGTCACCAGCCTCACTTTCTCCTCCAGAGCTGTCTGGGTCCAGGCAGATACACATCAGGACTGCTGGAGATGGCCCCACTCTACTTGGTAGATGATCTGCAGATCTCCATTGTTGAAGGCCCCAGTCAAATCAGTCAGATTTACCTAACACTGAATTAACTATTTGAGTCCAGTATGACATTTTCTACTCCAAATGTAGGGTGTTCTCAATACTTAGGTATTCCAGATGTTCCTGATTTGCTATTTGTGGTTCACACTTGCTAACTAAAACTTCTTCACCTCTGAAGACCTTCTCAGTTAAATGGCCTCTCATCCACATAAAAAAGACAGTGCGTTTGAAAAGCATGTGTCGCCCAGGTAACAACGTTCAGTTGACTGGCAGCATGTTATGTTAATTCATTAGTATGCATATCTTGAACAGGTATTACAAAGAGAACTGTGCACAGAATTTAATAAATAGGTCAAGGAGGGCTGGATTACAATTGAGGAGTTGTTCAGTGCTTATTACAGTGATCTCAAGCTGAACTCCTTCAAAAAGCCCATCTCTTTCACACTACCTAATATTCTCCCAGTGGTACCATATGGTTGTGAATCACAAAACAGCATGATCAAAGAAGAATCAAAACTGCAGGTGACCTAAAATGGTGGTGCAAAAACTTGATATTGTAAGGCTGCATCATGTTACTAACGATAGCATGTGTGCAAAATGTGTCAGGAGAAGACATCATCATGATAATATGATTGGAAAAGGACATTGCCTGGTTATGTAGAGACACTGAACACTGATAGCTAGATGGTTTAAACTCACCTCTCATATGCCACATGCAGTGCTCTTTGGAGGATTTACAGAAAGAGATGGACAAAAATTGTATCAGGAGGGACAGTACTCACACTGTTTTGAACATGGATGCTTTAATTTGAGTCCAAGAACTATAGTTTTTTTTCCTCTTTAAAATTTCAGTTGTCCAAGAAGCATTTAAAAGTTAAATAACAGCTTTGGGTGCCTATATTGAAGATTCTGTTAACACATTGACTGATAAATTCATCCTGTATTTGTTTCACTTGCTGTATCAGAGGTTATAAAAATGTAGTTTGCACCAAATAAAAAAAAAAAAGAATATTCACTCTTTGTTGTACCTTCCATAAAGATGAAATTAAGGGAATAAAAAAACCAAGATGTTGGACTACTTTAGTCCCAGTGGTAGTAAGTTAATGTTTTTTGAAAACTTGAGATAGTACTCTATCGAGGTAAAACTAACCTGAGTCCATGAATCTAGAATCAAAACCAGGTGATGCTAGACAAGAAGTCTGAATTCCCAACAGTTTAACTACCCCCAAACATCTGTTTCTGTATTTGGCATAATTCCACTTTTTTTGTGTGTAAAATTGTTCCCATCTTTGAAAACACTTTAAAAAATAAGCAAGTCCCCATTCTGTCTCCTCCCTCCCCCAATTGCCAACACATGCATTTGTAATTACCTGGTTTAGTCTGTGTGTTTAATCAGTTTAAATTGAGAATGCTGTGTACATCTGACTTCAATCTGAAGGAGCTATTGAGTGTTGGGCAGTCACCACCCTTGTATCTGCCAAAATGTACCTCTGCCAAGAAAGGATCGAGCTAACACCAGGATATTTCCTAAAGAAGCCACTTGACTCAGATTAAATATTTATTTCCTTAAAATACTGGTTTGGATTTTGGTCTCTGTCCTGTAATTGGGATTTTCTGATGTTTAGGAATCTCACTTATTTGCTGGACTTGTTCCAGAATCAGCTGGCATTTATTCTAAAGTCTTAAACCTCAAGGAAGCAAACTTCATCCTCAGGGCTGAGTGTCATAAGTTGTATGGAGGTGAGGAGAGAAGGAAATTTGAGAAGGCAGAAATCCACATCTCTGTGTTCATTATCAATGCAACATGATTCAATTAATTTTAAAGAAGAGAGGACTTTTAACTTGCCATTAATAAAGCTGCTCATCAAATGTGTCTCCTTGGAGATTGTATTTTTTTTAAAGATTAGTTTAATTGAATTTGAATAAAACTGCAGTTTACACCAGTCATGATTATTAATTTTAGTCCTGTTTTTTCTTTATGTGAGATTGACAACCAGACTTCCTTGTAGTTATTTTAAATGAATCAATGAATGAAAAAGCATTTATTAAATGCTTGCTATATGTGCAAAGCTCTGTGCTAAGCACTGGGGTTACAAATAGAAAGATCGTTCTGGTTCTCAAGGAGCTCACACTCTAATTGGGGGAGGCAGTAGATTAAACAAAAAAATTAGCTGCAGGGAGGAAGGAAAAACTGAGAAGTCTTAAGGGCAGATGGCAAGCAAGGCCCCAAGGGTACTTAGATTAGGGTCAGTAGGTCACATGATAGTGCTGGGGGTCTGCAGGGTGTAGAGGAAAGACAGATGGTAAGGCCTGGTGGTCTTCCAATCTTGCCAGAAGGAATAGAGTTGTTGACTCCCACCTCATTCATGCCCTGTGAGCAGTCAAGAAACCCAGATGGATTCTTGGCAGCCCCCGGCAGGAAAAGGGAATAAAGGCAAAAGGCAAGGGGAGAGGCTTCCTTCATAGGGTTGGGTCTTCCTATTGCCTCATAGTCCCAGTTGACTTCTGGGACAGCCCAAGGGAAGGGATGGGGTGTACCTGGTACCCCCACTCATGGTGAGTTTTCCCACCACCTGTCAGTAGTTCTACATGAATTAAGAGCCATTCTCATTCATCAAATATTCTGTTTTTAATGGACTTCAAATTACTGTAGAGCAGATATTATTAGCCTGAGGTCTATGAATTTGTTTTTTAAAAATATTTTGCTAACTGTTTCAGTAGGATTGGTTTCCTTTGTAATCCTATGTGTTTCATTTAATTTTATGCATTTAAAAACATTATTCTGAGAAGGGACCTATAGACTTCACCAGACTGCCAAAGCAGCTCATGACCCCAGAAAAGGTTAACAATTCATTCTTCATTACTGTGGCCTGAGTTCCTTATGCAGTGAAGTTTTGATCATTATACTCCTACTCAAAAAACTTCAGTTGCTCTGTCTGGCCTTTATGGTAAAATTCAGACTGGTATTGGGGAGGCCTCTATTTCATGGATCCAACCATCCTTATTGCTCTCCCATATGTGCCCTAGGATAATCAAACTAGTCTGCTTCTCAAAATATTCCCAAGAGTATTTTGGAAGAAGGTTTCCTCTTCACTTTGCTTATTCTTTATCTCTGCCTTGAATGTGGTCCCCCTCCTCCTCCTCCACCTTTCCCCATTTCTACTACCTGTCAGAGTTTTACCCATCCATTAAGAACTTGTTTAATAGAGACTTCCTTTCAACTTAATAGAATATGTTTCCTACAGCCAGCCCTAGAATTTGTGTTCCCTTTGTATGCCCCTTTCTCTAATCTTTATAGGTATTTCTCATATCTCTCAGTTCAATTTTAAGCCCCATGAGGGTCAGAGACTTTGATCTCATTCATCTCTATATCCTCTGCTGTCTCTAACATGGGACTTGGCACAGCTGATGCGTCCCAATTGAAAGGGGGATAAAAATTGTGTTCTGTATATGTGTGATTCCTTGGATTCACAACATCACAGAGGCTTGGAGCCACTGATGGTAAGCCATCCCTTTGACTTTTATTGACTGACAAATGTCATGAGGGCGATGATGAACTGCAACAGAATGTCAGTGTCTCAGATTGATGGGCTCTCAGTGACTTTAAGCAGTCTTTTACTCCCATAGCCATAGAACATAATAAAACAAACAGAAAAGCGAGTGGGCATCTTTCTCTTGCCTAGTATGATATTCCTTGTTTTCACCATGATGTAGCAACAGGCTGCCTAAGGTCTTACCTGTCATCAGTATTCTGCCTGACATTCAGATTGTCAGGAAGTGAGTGAAATGGGATCTGTTAAGGAACATTTGTGACTCAGTTCCTTTGTGGGTCCCTTGTGGTGGTGTTTGTTTGTTTTTTTTTTCTGAAATTGTCAGAGACCTCACAATCTATCCTTTCAGTTCCTAGTCTTTCAGGTTTCTCAAAAGCATTAAGCATATTCTGAGTGGTTTTAAAAGTCTTGATAATACGAAGTACATTGAATACCTAAATACAGTATTTAAAACTAAGCACGAAGACAATTTCATGGCTTGTCTCAAACATTTTCTTTAAAGCAAATCTAAGGACAGAGTTCAGATTAAAATAGGAAATATCTAATGTTGCATCATCTCCATATTATAATGTAGGCTGTGGTTATTTCAGATCCTAGCTGATTTGTATGAAAGTCTTGAGAAAATAAGTTTATACTCCAGGGGATATATTAAGGACTGACAGTGATAACATGGAAGATACTACAAGCGAAGCGGTGAGGGGGAAGAGTTAGGTATGTTGTTTGGGATGAATGGAAAGGACATCAGTGCATGCACAGAGAAGCTGGCTTGGGAGGGGCATTTGGCCATTAAAAGCTAAAAGAAGTTCACAAAGATTTACTAGATATCAAAATGGATATTGATAGAAAGTTGAGTTGACCCCTCTGAATGGTATCTGAGAGGTAGGAAAGGGGTAGTACCAAGGTATTTCACCTCTTTTATTGTGCCTGAGAATTTTAAAAATGCTATAACATGGAATGTTTGATTGGGAGTAGAATATGTTTGTGTGGATTTTTAAATTTCTTCTCCTCTTGTCTATTTTAG